TTTTTTTTTTTTTTTTTCTTTACTTCATTACTATTACTATTACCTCTTCTTCTTTTTCTTCCTCCTTCGTGTGAGTTTGGGAAAAGGGAAAAAAAGAAGAAAAGAAAAAAAAAAACGTACAATCATTGAGAAAAAAAAAAGAAGCAGTAGGGAAAAACAAACAAACAAACAAATAACAAAAAAAGCGTACGAACGAAGGAAAAAAAAAAAAAAAACAAAAGAAAAAAAAACCGAACAAAAAACAACAACAATAGTTACTTATATATATATAGTTATCAGGAATTCAAGTACAATATGGTCAATTCGAATTGTAATGTGTATGCTCAAAATGATAACTTCCCATTAACGCAACAACAACAACAACAACACTATCAGCTGCTTTATCTCAATGGAACTCACTTCATCATCACTATAGCACCAATACCACCAACACTCACTTTACACCCCATACAATTACTACAGAATGGAAAACAGGTGGTGTTGTATATTTCACAAACTGCAAGGGCCGCAATGAATAACTTTGGTAAAAACAATCCGTTTTTGTTTATAAATCATTCTTCTCTCGGTCACACTATTGTGAAAGATGCCTTAGAGTATGCCTATGCAGATGCACGACGTGAGTTATTCCTATCCCCATTATTATCATCATCCTCTCTCTTCTCATCCTCTAACCACAATATCAATCATGAGATGTATCCTCATATCCCTTTTATTAGTGGGAAGGATAGTGAAAAGAATATTCCCAATAACACTTCAGTGGATATTATTCCTACACATATGACTATAGTCTCTGCCGTTCTGCGAAATATCGCCAGTTTTGCTCATCCACAACTCTTCACATCATTACTCTCGAGTTTTCTCGCGTATGGAGTGAGGTTTGCAGAGCAGTGGAAACAAGAAGAACAAGGAGGGATTACTGCTTACGATGTTGAATCTCTCTCCACACTAGCCTCACTAGACGATGCCCTCTGGTGTCTACATAATGTTGCTATGGATATCTTGCGTAATCTCAAAACCGCAGTGAAAACACTTTTGAGAAGTGTTTCTCGAGAAATGGGTGGGAAAGAGCTTTTTCACTTTACAGCATCTCTCTATCAATTGGCAAATGGTTTCGTACTTCTCGCCATGCTTGAGTTCTTTGTAGTGGATAAAGATATTCCTGCTTCTATGTATACACGGAGCTGCAGTACATCTGGGAAACTATATACAAGCGAAGCATTTAGTCTCTTGTTTAGAAAATATGTGGAAGATACATCTAAGAACGTGCCAAGTACAGTAGATGTACTCACACAAACTGCAGGATCCTGTAAGAATTTTCTCTGCGAGATGATAAGGAAAATAGATTGTGAAATGCGTCGTTCTTGTGTTACTTGGGATATCAATGGTGAGAATAATCTCATGAATGCTCTTTCACTCGTAGAAGATTTTGAGGCGATGGTGTATGGGTCGCAAATATATATAGACCGCATCTGCCGTCAATCTCCATTCCTGAAATCTCACTTAAATGATTCTGTAGATAATCACAGTGTGGAGGAAGAAGATACTACGCACTTGAACGGAATGAAAAACATATCCAATCAGTATTGGAAAAACAACGTGGATTGTACTTCTTCCGTATCAAGTAAGAGTTATAATACTACTAATACTAATAATAATAATTATTATTATAATAACAGTGAAGGTGCGAGGTATTTTATGTCTAATGATAGTAAAAACACGAAATGTGAGTTATTACCGCATGGGGCAAATACTCCACTTGAGGGATTAACAATGGATTTAGGTGCGAAAACGACAAAACAAAACTTCCGTGTGATTACAGAACCTTTATACGAAACACATGAATACTCAAGAAAGACATCAGATGCATTTGTGGGCCTTGTGAATGTTGGAAACACATGTTTCATCAACAGTTTTACACAACTTTTCTTTGCCGCTAAACACTTTAGATTAGAACTCATGAAAGAGTTTTTACCACGCATTGAGGCACTCGTAGACGTATTCGAAAGGAAAAATCCCCACACCAGTAATAATAGTAGTACCAATAATAGTAATGGTATTAGTGGTAGTTATAGTAGTAATACGTATAATAATAATAATAATAATAATAATAATAATAATAATAATAATAATAATAATAATAATATGGATTCTACTGCTCCTACTAGTTCAACTACACCGAGTGAGATATCAACAGGTGGAAGAGGCACGGATAAAGATGTCGCTCTTGGTTTTGTTCTCCTGCTTGGACAAATGCACTGGAGATTGTGTAGAGGTCATGCCAGAGAGCCTGTGAACACCGCCTTCTTTAGAGTGATGTTGCCCGTCCCATTTAATGATGGCTTCCAGCATGATGCCTCGGAGTATGCGAAGGTGCTGCTTGAGATTTTGGACCGCGGAGACTCCACAGAGGAAATAAATGCAAGTGAAACCAAATCACATCATCACAATCATCATCATCATCATCATGAAGAAAAAGAAGAAAATAATAATAATGATAATAATGAAGAAGAGGCAACCAGTGAAATGCCCAACAACAACAACAACAACCATCATAATAGTCACAACACCAATGGAAAAAATAATAATAATAATAATAATAATAATAATAATAATAATAATAATAATAATAATAACAATAATAATAACAATAGCAGTAAAGATCAGAAGCGGGCTACTGTTGTGGATAGATGGTTTGGTGGAGTTTCTGCCTCTATCATTGAGTGTTTGCATTGCCGCCGTCAACGAACACAACTAACACCTTTTTGGGATATCACACTGCCACTGCAACGCGTCCGGGATGAAAGGCATTCAGTCAACATCGCAGCAGCAACAACAACAACAATAGGAGAAGAAAGAGAAGAAGAAAGAGAAATGGAAACAAGAGTAATTACACCACTCGATGAAGATGATGAGGATGATGATGAAAAGGAAAAGAATGGGCCAGTGAGAGATGTGGCCCAATCTGCAGATGGACATGTTGCCATCACTACATACGGCACTCAAAGTGAAGAAGAAGAAGAAGAGAATATAATGGAAGAAGAGCCAAATGTGCAGGAGATTCAGGAAGTAAGGCCCATGCCATCTCTGCAGGATCTCGTGAATGATCTTCTCAACTATCAAGGCGTGGGTGAAGTTCTGCAGGATGATAATGAGATGTACTGCGAATCCTGCCGCAGTCGCCATCCAGCGGTGTTGAGAACTGCCATTCATGCCACTTGTAAACCATCCACATGGAATCACTCTCTAGAGAATGGACAACAACCATCACAACAACAACAACAATCACAACCATCACATTATATGGATGAGGAAATGGGAGAAGAATCTGAAATTGAAGGAGTTCCCTTTTACTTAACATTGCAGCTCAATCGCTTTCAGTATGTTCGACATTCCAGTCAATACGAAAAGGTAATGGATGCTGTTCGTATTAACGAATACATCACCGTTCCTGTGCGGGTTGTGAAGCCGGGGTCCAGTTCACATACATGTGCTCAAGAGAATGAAGAAAGAACATCTACAGCAGAAAGAGAAGAAAGAGAAAGAGAAGAAAGAGAAAGAGTGGAGGAAGTTTATCATGCACATGTTCGCTATCGAGTTATTGCTGTATTAGTGCATAGTGGCTCCACACCTCGTAGTGGACATTATTTCGCATTACTCCGCGAGACGACTTCATCCCCTTCCACTTCTGCTGCTGCTGCTGCTGCTGTGCCGATTAATGTAGATAAGCATAACTATACGGAGGATGTGAACAATAGTGGTTGGGTGTTGGCGAATGATTCTGTGGTTTCTCCCTTAAGTTCTGAACGATTGCGTGCTTTTATGGATGGAACGGGAACTGTATTTAGTCATCTTGAGACCCCGTATATTATTCTCTATGAACGTTGCTGTAGAGAGGATAGAAAACCACACACAGATGAGGTGGTCTTCTCGGATGGATTGGAGAGACTCTTTCAGCGGTTGATGGAGTTAACAGAAACGGAGACAACACAAAGAGGTATGTGGATTAATAAAGATAATGATGATGATGATGATGATTACCACAATGGTAATAATAATAATAATAATAATAATAATAATAATAACAATAATAATAATAACGGTAATAATAATAATGATTTTTTGGGCAGTGGTGCTAGACTCAATGCAGCAGTGGGTGGAGGGAATCCTATCTACTGAGTGTGTGAATGTAAACAAACAAAAAAAAAGAGGCAACGTGATTCCCCCTCATTTACACACCCGTACATATATATATATATATATATATATATATATATATTGAAATGTGTTAACATTTTCTCTTTATCTGTGTCTGTGTGTGTGTGTTTCAGTATTTTGCTACCGGCTAATCCTCCTTCTTTTTTTTTCTTTTCTTTTCAGTAGGGCGTTGTGTCCCGTTTTTTCCTTTTTTTTTGACGTTTTTTTTTTAACTTTGCGTTCCCACTTATTTTGCAGTGGATCTTTTTTTTTTTTTTGTTTTGTTTTTTGTTTTCTCTCTTCTTCTTTATATGTCTACGTACTTCTGTTTGTGTGTGTGTCTGCGTTCTGCTATTTTGAAATACTGCGATATCCTACACTCTATTTATAGACGGGTATATATCTATCTAGTTATCTATTTATTTATATAGATAGATAAATATATTAGTTATTATAATGCCAGCATATATGGATGCACATCTCTATATTCAGTGAAGTTATCCCCCTTTCCCTGTTTATGACGGTATATAAATGCGTTTTGGTTTGAACAGGAAGAAATGCTGTTTTCTTCTCTTTTTTTCTTCCATTTCAATAGAAGAAGAGGGAAATGGCCTTCTGATCATAGTCTTCTCTTCATTTATTTATTTCTACTTCTATTCAATTTTACTTTCCTTTCTTCCTTCTTTTTATTATTATTATTATTATTATTTCTCTTTTTTATTACTAGATTGATTTCACATCCCAACGATATATATATATATATATATATATATATATATATTCGTGTTTTGGTTAAGTTGTTTATCCCCCTTTTTTTATTTCTCTTTGCAGAGACACCAGTGTTGGGGCTTAGCTCTCTACACTCCACGACTATGCACAGCAGCAAGGCAAGTCCACACAAACAAATATCACCGCAGAAGAAGTCCACAGGAAAAGATATTTCTCTTACTAGTACTACTACTACTACTACTATGAATACTACTATTAGTAGTATAAATGAAAGTAATACCACTAGTATGAATAGTAGTAGTATGAATAGTAATAGTGATAGTGTTGGTGTTCCTCAGGAAACGGCAACTGTGGGAGTCTTCAGTAAAGAAGATTGTAAAGGTGTGAGTCAGCATAAAGAATGGAATACACTCAACACACAAGAAATGATAATGTTACTACTGCGTGAACTGCACGCACAACGCATGTTGGCAAATGCATATAAACGAAAATACAAAAAGACATTGGAGGCCCTGCGCACTACTACTGCTACTACTACTACTAATAATAATAATAATAATAATAATAATAACAGTATGATGACGACAACAGATACTCCATTATCCGATAAACGGGTATCGCGAGAGGTTCTTGCAGAGAGTAGTAATAGAGAAAATAGATTCAATAGTGATAACAGTTCACCTCCAACAACAAGAGGAGTATCTACCACAGCTGTGCGTATGCCTACTAGTCCATCGAATAGAAATACTCCTAAACAACCACACCAACTGCAGAAGAAGAAAGAAGAAAAAGAAAAAGAAAAAGAAGAATATAATGAAAAGGAAAAGAAATCATTTCAATCATCTAATCACAAACATCATCATCATCATCATAGTATACCGCACAGTCTAACAGAAGGGATGAGTGATAAATTTATAAAAGAGGCTTTAGAGAATCCAGAGGCAATAGCCGCTGAACTCACAGAGGCCGTAGAAAGTGATCAACGCTCGTATGAACTCCTGAGGAAATCTATTGAACATGCAAAGCTGAAAATGTGTCAATTAAACTCTCATGATATTTCTATTCCTGTTACTACTACTACTACTACTAATAGTAATAGTAATAATAGTAATAATAATAATAGTAATAGTAATAATAGTTCTTCTACGGAATGGAGAGAGCCTTCTAAAGTCTCTTCACCTGTTCTCCCTCCTTCTCCTCATAATGTTTGGGGAAGTAAAGGAGACTATTGTATTCCAATCACCGCTGCCGTCGTCCACACATCCCCACCAACCCAACACAGTTTTGAGAATAATAATAATAATAATAATAATAATAATAATAATAATAATACCAGTTTTCAATCCACACCAGTCAGTAAGATCTATGGTTCTTGCCGTTCTCATCAGGATGATGATGATGATGATGATAGTCCACATCGCCATGGTCGTTATTCTTTAAATATATCCGCTGAACACTCCATCTCTTCATCTCTACATAATCCAAGGGAAGATTCACCGCAAACACCATCAGAAGACGTTCATGAAAGAAGAAGAAGTGATGAAAAGAGAAGAAGAAGTCATAGTAATAGTAATAGTAATAATAATAGTAATAGTTGTGATAGTGATAGTAATAGTGATAGTAATAATAGTGATACTATGAGAAAACGAATGGTGGCAAATGAACGACTGCGGCAGTGGCGATTGGAGGCTTTGCGTGTACGAAGTACATCCTGTAAGGCACTGTTATTAAAAGAAGAAAGAAAGAAGAGTGAAACAACAAAGAATTCAAGTGATAAATAAATCTTTATGAGATAAATAAAGTGAATCTTGTTTTTTTTTTTTTTTTTTTTCTTTCATTTTCTTTTTCTTTTAGGGGGTGGGGTGGGGGTTTCTTTCTTTTCCACCTCTCTCTCTCTCAAAGAAAGACAAAAAAAAAAAAAGAAAATTAATAATTGCCTGTATTTATATTTATATATATTTATATATATATATAAGGAAGATGGTGAGAAGAAAAAAGGTTTATTATTATTATTATTATTATTATTATTATTATTATTATTTATTCGTTACCTATTTGCCAATGTACTTCCACCATCTCGTAAGATTCATTTTCATTTTCTTTTTTTTTTTATATTTGCTTTATTTGCTTTTTGATCATTTTCTACTGTAACCTTAAAGTTTATAAGAAGTAGTGTTTTTCTTTTTTATATGTTCTTTTTTTTTCCCACTATGCATATAAATAAATAAATATATACAAGTTTTTTTTCCCTTTTTTTTTCTTCTCCGTACATTTTTATTTTTTTACAGTTCTTTTTCTTTTTTCTTTTTTTATCCTTTACTTCTACACTCCCTCCTGTCAATTGCAAACGAAAAAAAAAACCAGACATTTCTTCAGTGACTTTTGTTCCTTTTTTAAGAAAAAGGAGTGAGTAAACTTCTTTATAGCTGTATGTGGATATATATATATACACCTGTCAACCCACTTATCATATAAATAATTGTTTCTGAGGAGTATGAAAAAGTTATATATATATATTATATTCAACTGCTTTTAATTATTTTTATTAATTTTTTTCTCTTCTCTTTTTTTTTTTATCTATTTTCTTGATTTTTTGATTGGACTGCGGTGGGAACTGCACATATATATATATATATATATATAGGAAAGAAGAAGAAGAATATATTAATAAAAAGGAACTCCATCAACAAGCCAAAAAAAAAGGAAAAAAAAAGAAAAGAAAACTAGTAGGCTTTTTGTCTGAGTGAGTTACTACACAGCAAATTCAACAGCTTGTGGAAGTAGAAGGAAAAAGTACAGGAAAACTTAGTGAAAGCCTAAATAGTTTGGTTAGCAAAACAACCCCTTTACTACCATTAAACACAACAAAGAAAGAAGAAAGAAAGAAAGAAAAAACAAAGGAAAAAAAAAAGAAGAGGGAAGGAAGAGAGAGTGGTGATCAGAAAAAGAACCACCTCAAAAGAAAAAAAAAACCCAAGAGAAGAATAAAAGAAAAGAAATATATATATATATATAAACAAAAAAAAAAGTGCAGGAAAAGAAATAAAATAACCACAAGTACACGAGCGTAGACATGACTTCAGTTGTTGCCCAACCGAAGGCCTCCGCAGCAACGAGTGGACGAAATGCAAATATAAATTCCAATTCCAATTCCTCTAATACAGCCACAACCAGTCTCTATGAAGAACACGAGCGGCTTATGAAGAATATTCAAAATCTTGAACTCAAGACGATGATCTGCCGAATGGAAACCCATCATCTCCTGCAGGAGGAAACCGTGGCCAAACAGGAAGTGATGCGTATTCAAGCAGTTCCGCTTGTTCTCGGCACTTTTGTGGAGGCGGTGGACTCCGTGCGTGGTGTGGTGACGGGCTCCTCCAGCAGTAATTATTATGTGCGGATCTTAAGTACATTGGATAAGGAGCGACTAAAGCCCGGGGCGAGTGTTGGTCTACACAAGGGCAGCAACTCCTGTGTGCAGATTCTCCCAAATGAGACAGACTCCACTATTCACATCATGCAAAAAGAAGATAAACCCACCGTTACGTACAGTGATGTGGGTGGATTGGATATTCAAAAACAAGAGATTCGTGAGGCGGTGGAGTTGCCTCTCACACATGCTTCTTTATATGATCAGATTGGTATTGATCCTCCACGTGGCGTATTACTCTACGGCCCACCGGGAACAGGAAAAACGATGCTTGTGAAAGCCGTGGCCAATCACACCAATGCCTCTTTCATCAGTGTGGTGGGATCTGAGTTTGTGCAGAAGTATTTGGGCGAAGGTCCACGTAAAGTGCGAGATGTCTTTCGTCTCGCTCGTGAAAATGCCCCGGCAATTATTTTCATTGATGAAGTGGACAGTATCGCTACGAAACGATTTGATGCTCAAACAGGGGCGGATCGAGAAGTGCAGCGAGTTCTCGTGGAGCTTCTCACACAAATGGATGGATTTGATCAAACCACGAATGTTAAAGTCATCATGGCCACCAATCGCTGGGATACATTGGATCCTGCCTTATTAAGACCAGGCCGACTCGATCGTAAGATTGAATTTCCGTTTCCCGATCGTCGACAAAAACGATTGGTCTTTCAAGTCTGCACAAGCCGAATGAATCTCTCACCGGAAGTTGATCTCGAGGAGTTCGTCACCCGCGCGGAGAAGTTGAGTGGGGCGGACATTCAAGCGATTTGTCAGGAGGCGGGAATGCTCGCCGTGCGGAAGAATAGATATGTGGTGCTCCCTAAAGATCTCGAGAGCGCATACCGTACCGTTATAAGGAAAACAGGGGATGATCGCTACGATTTCTACTCTTAACACACACAGACGCACACACACACACACAGAGAGAGAGAGAGAGAACAGCAAAGAAGAAGAAGAAGAGATCTCTCCTCTTTGCAAATTTCTTTCTATCTTTCTCTTTCTCTTTCTGTTTTTCAATTTTGTTCGATTGTTTTTCTTGTTTTTTTTTTTTCTTGTTTTTACTCTGTGTGTACGTGTATATATATATATATGTAGTGGTGTGTGGGAACGTAAGAGTGTGTGAGTACAGAGAAGAATAAGAAGAAAATAGAAGAGGAGGGGAAGTGAGTAAAGAAAAGGGAAGAAGAAAGAAAAAGGAGAAGAATATATTCTTTTTCTTTTTCTATTCTTAACTTATTTATTGGTTTCTTTCTTTGTTTTATTTGCCTTCTTTTTTTTTTTTTTCTTTATTCTTCTTTCCATTGACTGTAGTGGGTACTCTCTCTGGTACGTATGTGAGTGAGTATATTATTATTATTATTATTATTATTATTATTATTATTATTATTATTATTATTATTATTATTATTTTGCACACGCATATTATTATATATGTATGCATTTCTGGATACGGACACTTACATATAAGAGACTCATGTATATGTGCGTAAAGATATATATATATTTATATGTGTACGCGTCTTTGCTACTCTTGAAATTAAAAAAAAAATGTTTTCTTTTTTCTTTTTTTTTGTTCTTTTTTTTTGTTTTTCTTCTGTTCTTTCTGCCTTTCTTTTTTCTTTTTAATTCTTAAACTATTTTCTTTCTTTTTTTTCTTCTTTTTCGTTCTTTTAGCTCTCTCTCTCTCTCACTGTGCTGAGTTATTTTGGATTCCTTTCCTTGTTAACAGCAATCAAAAAAGAAAAGAAAAAACAAGGGAGTGCAAGAGGCGATTAGACGAAAGATAGATTTTTAGGAAAAAAAAAAAAGACAAAAAAAAATAATAATAATCAGTTTGCGCAATCAGTTCTTATAGTTTTTTTTTGAGAGAAAAGCAAAAAAAAATAAATAAATAAAATCCAAACAAAGTAAATAATTAAAAAAAAAAAAGAAAAAAAGAAAGAAAAAAAAAAGAAATGAGTGTCTATAGTAACGCCTCAGGGCCCAACAACGATGGGCGTAGTTATCATAGTATTAAAGGGTTTGCCGGGGCGGAGTTAATAGCAAATCCACTCGGTAGTGATAAGAAAAGTAATGAAGCCTCAAATGATCCCTTTGTAAAGCAGCAGCAACAGATCCAATCTTTATTACGTAATCCAACCACACGTATTGAAGATGATGGCTCTGTGGTGTATGATCCAAATTATCTTCCAAAGAGTAAAAAAATCATTTCGATGGCTCCTTATGATGAGAAGGAGGAGTATGATCCGGTGGAGCCATTATTTTGGGTTGTTTGTGCCTGTACTTTAGGATTAGCCGCTTTTTGTGTATTTGTAGCCGTTACTGTTTTACAACTTCCCTTTACGTATGCACATGGTACTATTGTTTATGTTTCTGCTGGTAGTTGTGGTGGATTTTTATTTGCGATGATGTTTCTCTTTTACATTGCGGTTTCTAAAGATGAACGTTACTTTGGTCGATTTATGGATGGACTTATTGGGGCTATTCCTTTTATTCTCCTCGGTGCCCTTATTGGATACATGTACAGTTGTTTCCTCTTAATGATGATTTATCTTGTGGATGATCCAGTGGCCTCTTCTTTAAACATCACGTGGTGGTTTTGTATTTTCTCAACAGTTCCACCGTTTCTGGTTTTCTTTATTCCCATGTTTATAGTGGCAATGCGAGTACAGGAGGCTTCTGCGATGACGGCCCGTCTTTTAATGGGCCTCACACTTCCCCCACCAGGGTTTATTCCCCGCACAAATGGGATGGCCACTTATCTCTTCTCTGCCTTTCGTCGTTTTATTATTGGATTCGCCATGGCGGTGGGTCTTTCTGGTTATTATGCCATTACGTGTTTTGCACTCGGTTGGCTTGCGTACGGTCTCTACCGGTCAACGGCGGTGTACTTTTGGATTCCCATCGTTGTGCTCGCCCCAGTGCTGCTGCTGCTCTTTATTCTTCTGCTTACTATTGGCTGTCTTTCGCCTTTTACGCTTCACGCTATCTTCGCCGTGTGGACAGGACCCATCACGGCATGGGCACACATTCCATTGAGATCGGCGTACTTTCCACACTATCACGCCGGCCGCACCATTAAACAAATGATACGAGAAACAAATCACATCACACGAAGGGCCGGACGGTGTCATGTGCGCGGCGAACACGTGCGGGCGGCGGAATTATATGATGAGGCGGACACTCGCCGCGCAGCGATTGAAGAACGGGGGATTGATCTCAAAGAGCGGGAGAGTCGGGGATGGCGGAAATTAAGTGCCAGGCGAATTCAACGGACATATGATGTGAAGAAGAAGTAAAAAAGAAAAAAAAAAAACACACACACATTGATAGCTAGAGAGAAAGAGTCTTTATATATATATATATATATATATATATATTAGTTGGTGTTTATTATGTGTGTGTGTGTCTTGGCTTAACAGAAGGGAGAAAGGGAAGGAAAAGAAAAAGAAAAAAAGGGAAAAGAAGATACATGTTTACTGGTAGCCAATGAGAATAATCATAAGAAATGGGAGAGAAGGGTGAGAGAATAAATGTCACTTTGAAGAAGTGTATATGACATTTTCTACTTATTTTTCTTTCTTTCTTTCTCTCTGTGTCTGTGGTTCTGTTACCATATTCTTATGAAGAGGTCTAGTTCAACAAGAGCTGAAGTATCGAAATGATAGAGAGGGAATAAGAGGATCTGAGAAAGAAGCCGTAAAGATTACTATTCTTCTTTAAATATCCCTTACTACTATTTGTATTTTTTTTTTTTTTTTGGCTGCTTTTGCAGGCGCTAGATTGCCCTACATTAGAGAGAAGAAGATATATATATATGTCTGTCTGTTTTTTATTTTATTTTTGTTTTGATTATTATCAGTGAATTGGCTTTATTTTTATTTATTTATTTATTTTTTTTTTGCTCAACGATGGTCCTGTCAGAGAATTCTTTTCATAGTTGAATAGAATAAGATGAGAGATTGAAGGAGTAAATGGTAGCAAAGATTAAAAAAAAATAATAATAACATGGAGAGTGCAAATAGAGTAGTAATAATGATGATAAAAGAGGAATGACATCTCTTTTTTTGATTTTTTTTTTTCTGTATATGAATCTCTGTGTATGTGCCTTTTTTTTTTTACTTATTTTATGTTGATTGTCTTTTTTATTTTTTATTTTTGTTTTTGTTCTTGTTGTTTACTTTTTTATTTGTTTTTGTATTTATCTTCTTTTCTCAAAGAAGAAAGAAAAGGTAATACTGCATCCGATATTTACCCATTTTTTCTCTCTCTCTCTCTCTCTCTCTATATATATATATATATATATATATATTGATGCTAGTACGACTATTTCCGTGGATTTTGGATGTTTCTTTTTTTTCTTTTTTTCTTCTTTTCAATATTGCGAATGAGGGATTGTGTGAAAACATTACCCACAAGAAAAAGAAAAAGAATAAGAACAACAACAAGAATAAGAAGAATAATTGAATTTCAATTTGGGGAATGATGAAGGTAGTGGAGAAATGCATCGGCAGTGCCTTCTCTGTTAGCGCTATCCCTGTACTGAAGGACAACTATACATACATCATTCATGATAAAACCACAAATACACTGGCGGCTGTGGATGTCTCGGGCGATCTCACACCTGTTTTGGATTACATTAAACACTTAACAAGTGAGATGAACACTCACAATAATAATAATAATAATAATAATAATAATAATAATAATAATAATAAAGTATCACCCGAATTTCGAACAATTCTCAGTACGCATAAACACTGGGATCACACCGATGGAAATACAAAACTCCCCCAGCGTGTACAGACAAATGGTCCATTTCGTATTGTGGGTGGAGTGAATGATCATGTGCCTGGAGCCACACAAACAGTGCGAGAGGGAGACACATTAATGATTGGAGCCCTGCAAGTGGAAGTATTGGATACTCCCTGCCATACAAAAGGACATGTGATGTATAAAGTATATTATCCACAAGCCAAGAATGATGGATGTGCGCTCTTTACAGGAGATACAATGTTTATTGGGGGAATAGGGGCATTCTTTGAGGGAAATGCGGCAGAGATGTGTCGGGCTTTAGAGAAAGTGTATCATCTGAATAGTAAGAATAACAGTGAAGAGGCGGATCAACATACCTTTATTTTTCCTGGTCATGAATATACAACGAAATTCCTTGAATTTACATGTGCGACTTTATCCGCTTCTCATCCCGATGCGAAGTTTACCGCAGCACAATTGGAACGATATAAGAAGAGTGTTGCTCAACACACACCAACAGTGCCGAGTACACTTGCAGAGGAGAAGCGGCAGAATTTATTTTTGCGAACATGTGATGAGAAATTTGTTCGGGAAATGAAACATGGTAGTACTTCAGAGGCACTCATGCAATATTTGTATGATACCTGTCCTTAATATATATATACATATATATAATGTATATATATAATATGCGCTGCGGATTTCTATATAAATGTAGACGAAGAAGAAGAAGAAAAGAAAAGGGTAAAAAAGGAGGAGGAGGGAAAACACAAGGGAAATGACTTAGGACTTAATATTTAAAAAGAATAAATATATAAATGGTATTTTATTTTCTTTTTTTTTTTTATTCTTTTTTTTTTTTTTTGCAGATCGTATAGTGGGTGAGGTCCTTGTCTTTTTTTTTTTTGGTCTTTCTTCTTCTCTTTTTTTTCGTGTTGTTTTAGTACGGCTTCTGCTACTTGTTAAACTATTCCTATTCTAATCCCCTTTTTCTTTATTATGATATGATCATTTATTTTATTTTTTTTCTCTCTCTTTCTCTCTCCTTTATCTTTATTGATATTTCTCTAAACACACACACTTTATGTAAATCCCTCTCACAGGTTACTCAGAAGGGGGTATAGGAAGACGTGTGAAGAGAGAGAGAGAGAGAAAATAAATAAATAAAAGAAAAAAAGAAAAAAAAAATAGAAAAAAAAAAAGAGAAAGGAGGGGTGAATGTTGGAAGGACTCGAGCGGCTTCTGCCGGCACTTCTTCAACATCTCTCTGGAGACATTTATGACACCGACACTTCCCAGACAGAAGAACAACAATTACAACAAAAGCAGCAATGGCAAGAGGAATCTCAACGGCAATCGCATCCTGTTGCTGTTGGAGAAGTCAATCATAGTCGAATGAATATTAGCAGAAATAATACTATTAATACTACTAATACTAATACTAGTGGGAGTGGAAGTGATCATAGATGGCGTCGGTGTATGCATTTATGGCGTGGTTTACTGGGATCAGACCGTCTTTTTCTCGCGCTTCTCTTTCACAGTGGTTCCCTTTGGGCCGTAGAGTGGTCATCAACAGACTCGGAAGTATCAGAAACAACAACAACATCAACATCCAATAATAATAATAATAATAATAATAATAATAATAATAATAATAATAATATTAATATTAATAATAATAGTAATATTAATAGTAATAGTCCTCCTATGAAGGGTCGTTCCTCATGGTCAGAGTCTGTTTTGTGGTTCTTGCAAATACATGAGGAGATGATGACTAGTCCTGTCAATGGGAATAGTAATAATCCCACAGCTGTGAAGAGTACGTCTGGAATCAGTAAAGAAGAAGGGAAACCATCCGTTTCCACTTCTTCTTCTTCTTCTTCTTCCGCTGTACATATGTATGCAGAGGATGAGATAGCAGTAAAGCATGCGGCAACAGTTTTGTTGACGGAATGGTTTACGATTGTAGATCAGTGCGGTAAACGATTTGCTCGAGCGTATTACTTCTCATGTGCTCTAAAGATTGCAGCACTTGCAGGAAATAATGCGATTATTGAAGATATTCCCCATCTACATAATCTTGTAGTAAAAGAACCTCGTTTCGCCTCACAGATTACTTCCTTTTGTAGTATATTATGTGCTCTTCTTGTGGAAGAAGCTCAACAACACGAATCATCTCGTTTACTGTTACCACCGCCTTTTTTTTTACTTAATTTTAACCTTATTGGACGTGGATCCCGTATTGGTGTTTGGTTACCACGGGTAAAGGCAGTGAACAGTAACACCAAAAGAAGTAGTAATAACAACGCTAATGATAGTGGTAGTGGTAGGCCTTCTCTAAGTATGATTGAAACTGCAGAGGATGGTGAATTTTACTCTTGTCAAGTGTGTTCTCCTGGTGTTATGTTAAGAATACCCCCTTCATCATCATCATCATCATCTATTTTGAATAGAGGAGGAGGAGCAGATCTTCTTCTCGGTGTACAACTACTAGACCAGGTGGATAAGCGAACCATAAATTTGCTACCAGCATTATATAAAACAAGTGAAACGCATGATACTATTCACGTGCAAAAAGAAAAGAGACGTGGAAGAGAACGACGGGGTTCTACAGCCGTTGGTGGTGTAGGATCATTACAAGCACGATGTTGGAGTGCATTTTCATCCACAACGAAAAGTTATGTACGTGTGGATCTCTTGCATCCCCGTGAACTCTCAGTTATTATACCATCCCTATCAACATCCTCAGGAGGAGGTCCAGGAAGGCGAAAGGGATCACAACAACAACAACAACAACAACAACAACAGGAAGTCTCTATTCAAACAGCACCACTTCGTCGAAATTCACACAATACAGCACCACGTGATCCCATCGCAACCATTGTTTTCGCACTTGCAACAACTGCACGTCGTCTTATCGGATGCCGCGGTCTTTTCTTACAATCAGAAACATCCTCTCATTCCACTCAAGCTGCTAGTGATTCGACACAGAGTGGAGGAAATGATAAAACCTCCATGGACACCTTTAGAAGTAAAACAACACGACACATGAGGTATGATACTTCCGATAGCATGAACCATCATTCCACTACGAATACGAATGATAGTAGTAGTGGTAGTGGTAGTAGTGGTGTTGTTGGTGTATTTTATACTCCGGAGGATGAACTGGATTGTCTTGTGGAGTGTGCCCTTCATCTTTTTCTCTCAGCCTTACTGCTCTGTTATGCTCTTTCCAGTGAATTGATGCCTTTAATAGATGCGTGGGCGGTGGAAGTCATCTCCGCCGCGGTGGATCTCGCCCTCGCCACCTCTCAGCCATTTGTTCGGCATCTCCGCGCTGTTGGATTCGCCCTTTGCCTGGGCCCGCAGCCGCACCAATCACTACTTGTGAGTGTTGGGCTTCTCGCCACACTTGCACGGCGGCAGCGGGATAAAGGGCGGGGGTTCAGTGGATGGTGGGAAGTGTTTAAAACACATGTGTTGAAAGATACAGTGATCGCAGCACAACTCCCAGAGGGGATGCGAGTACTCATTGGACGTGCGGAACGTTCTCTTCAAAATACACAACAGGCACGTCAACAAAAACAACAACAACAGCGTAATTTAACAGAAGCCGTTGATGCCGCCTCACGAACACGACAGTCGGTAAATGCAGCGGTGGATAATAATAATAAAAGTAAAGAAGATGCGGCGGTGGTACATCGTCCTGTACTGCAATTCCGTAAGAGAGTGGGAGAGGGGGATTCAGCGAAGAAACAGAAAAATGAGGTACAAGGTGGAATACCAACCTGGGTGCGTCCTCCTCCATCTGTTGTAGTGATTCCAACAGAAGAAGGACAGAAACAGAATATGTCATTGAATGATGTTATTATGGAGTTATGGTGGTACTTGGAACAGACGACGGCAGAGGCGGTGTAGACGTTTGGTATATATATATATTTGGGGAGAGAATACAGAGATGGGGTGTGTAGTTTACTTGCATTGTGGAAAAGGTAAATGCACCTAAACGAAGGAGGAGAGGAAGAGAGAGAGAGAAAGTGAGAGAAAGGAAGAGAAAAAGAAAAAGGAAGCATGGTGATAGATGAGGGAAAAGAGAAACTACAGAAATGATGAAAAGGAAGAAGAAAAAGAGGAGGAGGAGGAAGAGAGGGAGAGAAGAAGTATTTGTTGTTCTGAGTACACATATGTTTGTGTCTTAATCTGGATGTGATGTTATCTTCGCTTAATTTCGCTTCGAATATCTATGTTTATGTACATATTGGGATTTTTTTTTTCTTTTCTTTTACGACTGTTTTCCTTCTACCCAAAAAATCAATTTGTATTTTGTAGTTTCGGGAAATTCTGCTTTTGCTTTTTTTCCCCCTTCTTTTTCTTTCTCTCTCTCTCTCTCCGTTTATATATATTTAATTAAACATTTTTTTTTTTTTTTTTTCGTGGACTCTGCTCACCAAAACACCCTCACACACGTAAATACGTGTTAGAATTATTATTTCCTTTGATACTTTTTTTTTTTATTTATTTCCCCCTTTTTTTTTGTTTCCACATACGTTATTGGGCATTTCTTTTTCTTCTTTTCTTCTTTTTCTTTATTTCTTTTCATAGTTGTACCTATTTCTTTGTTTGTTTTAGTTTCCTTTAAAGAGAGAAAGAAAGAAAGAGAGATATATAGAGAGAGAGATAAAGAGCTGCTGAGATATCATGATAGCAATTCTTCTCTGTCTATGGAGCCTATTGCTTCTCTCTATGCAAGTACCGGCAGAAGCGGTATTCACCCAACAACAACAACAACAGAAACGAGAGTCTAGTGTCTCCACTAAGGATAGTGAAGATAATATCTTTGCCAGTGCTTCTGTAACTTGGATTGCAAAAGAGGGAATGGATGCAAGTAGTCTCACTGTATTCGGCAATCGAAGTATTATTGGTGTAACCACTCCAATGACACCAACGATCAGTTTCCGCACGAATACTCTTTCTGAACTTTTCATTGATATGACGGTGGTGTATTTGGAGAGGCAAGAAGTATTACCCTTTTCACGTTCACAGGCCATTCCACGTGAATTTCTCCCACCTCCATTTAATACCACGATTGCCTTTCAAAACCCACTCTTTCCCAATGCTGTGATTTCACTAAATACACTTTTAATGCATACATCATCCTTTACAGAAGCGGGATTCACTGCGGGAGCTGCACAGACACCAGGACCCGTCATGTCTCTTACATCTTTTGTGGAAAGTACATTGGCAAACAGCGGAACAAGTGGATTGTGGGGAACTGCACAACCAGGACTCGCTAGTAGTTATCAATACTCACGATTAAATACGGCTCTCGTTACTTATATACTTGAAAAGGTAATTTTGAAATTAGAAGGTGTAGAAACTTCCTTGGCAACCTTTGTACAAAATACATTTATTACGCCAATGGGACTTAGAGGGACATTTCTTGTGGATACAACAGGCACAGCACCGGCTCCAAATTATCCACCAAATAGTGTCTCCTTATTAACTGCCAATACTGTACAAGATGTCACAAGTGATGGAAAGGGAATTCCCTCATCTGTTATTATTCACGCCGCTTATGCCTCAGATTATATGTATTATACCACTGTATTAGATCTTGTGAAACTTGCCGGTGAAGTTTTTCTTGGTGGTCAATTTGCAAGTCTTGGGCCAATGCTTAAAAATGATACCATCTCTCTCGTCAGTAGTAGTAGTAGTAGTACTGGTAATAGTAATAGTAATCTACCAGGTGTGATTTCACGTTCAGTGGGTGTATATGGCTTTGATCCTAAACAACTCTGTCAGATCACTTCACTAGGTGGTATTTGTCAATTTGAAAGTGATATAGACTTATATGGATGGATTGTTGGAGGTGAATATAATCAAGTCGCCTTGCTCTGCACAGCGGAAAAGTGTGCAGCGGCGGAGGTAAGTTTTCCCTCCTCCACTGTTACTTCCTATTCTCGTCTTGTAGAACTCGCCCTTTCCTCATTGGTAGAGGTAAAGGAAAATCCAAAACTAGAAGGGGGAGAATTATATCCTCTGTATGTATTCATTGGAGTGTTGTCTACTATTATTGTGGTAGTGGTGGTCAGTTACATTGCGGATTATGTAATTCGACCAGCACCAGCAGCCGCACCGCTGCCTGTTAATAAAGTGGCGTTGCCAACCAACACCGCAGCCGCAGGAGGTGCAGCGACCACTACAATGGATACTGTAGAGATGAATAATATTAATAATAATAATAATATGCAAGGGGTTTCTTCACCCGTTAGACGTCTGGATATGTACGACTAGGAGGGAATGAGACGATATTAACAGTTTGTTTATTATTATTATTATTATTATTATTATTATTATTATTATTATTGTTACTTTTCCGCTTGTATTTATTTATTTACTGGTTTTTTTTTTTATCTTTTTATCGCTTGTTACCGTTTTTTTTTTTGTATTTTTTTTTTTTTTTTACCCTTATTATTGTATGATTTGGTTCTTGATTATTGTTACTAGCGGAATTGTGTATGGACTAGAGTGTAAAAAGAAAGATATCTCACCCTACGGCTACTACACGTGGCGTTCAAGTAGGTAGAAACGAAAAAAAAAAAA